CTTTTACCAGAAATGTTTCCTTCTTTCTTTCCTTCATTTATCAGACACTTCTTCATTCTTTCTTTCACGAGACTCATCTTGATTTTTTTCATTCATTTACCAGTCAATTTTTCATTATTTCTTTCATTTTTGTATTAGACACTTTTTCATTTTTTTCTTTCATTCATTTACCAAACATTTTCATTCTTTCTTTCTTTATTCTTTTATCAGGCACTTTTTCATTCTTTCTTTCAATCATTTACCAGACCCTTTTTTAATTTGTTCTTTCATTTTTTTTTAACAGACAGTTTTTCATTCTTTCTTTCATTTCTTTATCAGACTCTTTTCACTTTTTCTTCAATTTTTTTTTTACCAGACTGTTTTTCATTCTTTTACCAAACACTTTTTTCTTTCATTCTTTTACCAGACACTTTTTCATTATTTGTTTTGTTCTTTTGTCAGACACTTTTTCATTATTTCTTTCATTTTTTACCAGGCTTTTTTTCATTCTTTTTTTGTTTTAACCAGATTCTTTCTTTCTTACTTTCTTTCTTTAACCCAAATTCTTTCTTTCTTTCTTTTTTGTTTACGCCCAGCATTTGATTTAACAAGTGCATCTCTCCCTACCCCACCGTCCATGTCGCTCTATATTTACATAAATGAAACAAAGGAAAAATTTCCTTCTTCCTTTCTCCTTCGATTTCGACCTATTTGTCTCTCGTATTCTTGCTCTTACCTCCTTGTCTCTCAAATTGCTTTTTGCCAACCAATGCTCACCCGGCATTGATCGTTTCTGTGTTCCACTGCAACATGTCGTCTGCTTTGTGTCCGTTCTCTGTCACATGATCTTTTTTTGCTTTTCTTTTTTTTTTTGTCGCTTTTTCTTTTTCAGGAGAATGTTCCAACCTCCAGTTTCGTTGATAAGAGCTTATTAATAACATCGACCTCTGAAAGAAAAAGTCTGTCTCAGCTACACAATGACATAAACCAATAAAGCTGCAAATACGAACCAATTATTAACATTCGGAACAAAGGAAAAGAGAAAAATGAACAAGACTTCCACTTATCAAATTATGAAAAGAAACACATATTCAAGTTGGTTATCTTTTACATAACTCACTTACCGCAAGCAAATAGAGAAAAAAAAATCAGTAGTTATATTTCAGAGAGAGAGACACACACACACACACACACACACATATATACACATATATATATATATATATATATATATATATGTAGATAAAAAAATACGTAGATAAAACTTTTATAAATGTAACATATTTCTCTATTTAGTGAGCTACATCAAAAATTTTGAAGAGGAATAAAGCAGAATTGTCCTTTTTTTTAATTCTATTTTTTTTTGTTTCATTTTCATTGGTCGTGTAGACGTCACGTGTTAATTTCATGGAGTTTGCATGTGTAAAGTAATTGTAATAATACCTGTTTCCTTATATGGAAACACTCATTGACCGTGCAGACAAGGCTGCGTGTCTTGAAAAACAATGTTCTTCGACATCAACTACAAGCCCCATTTGTCAGAAATTATTTTTAAACAATGGCCTTTGAATGTTTTTTTTTTTTTGAAAAAAGACAGTGGGAAGCCATGTCACATAGGTGGGGAATTAAGTGAAGTCGTAATGCCAGATTAATACCGATAACATTAAAGAAATTTCTTTGATGTTGTCAAGAATATATATATATATATATATATATATATATATATATATATATATATATATATATATATGTATAAATGGAAGAAGTTACAGCAGTTCCAACGACAGAAAAGTGTGTATATTAAAAAGAAGACAGAAAAAGAAGAGAGGAATTACAAAAGTTTTTGGTTATAATTTGAATATTTTTTTAAAAAAAATATTATGCTTTATTTTTCCATAAGTTTGCTACACGGGTTTCCGTTCTCGTGTCCTTCATCAGGCAAAGCGTGGAGATTTCCACATATTATTAAAAGTAATTTTTTTTCTTATGTTTTTCGATGTTAAATATTCTCGATATGAGATATTCACTTTTTTGTGTGTTAGTGACCCAAATGTCTTTCTTGAACTGGCAGTGAAATGTTCTGCGTGAAGAGTTATAAAGGAATTAAGACCGGTCCGAAAATGGTGAAGGAGTTACCGGCATTCTTATCTTTTAAGGACCCCTTTTGAGTTCTTAGATCTATTTCAATTTTCGCGTGTTTTTGGTCAGTGTTTTTCCCTCTCCATATATACACACTGTCTTATTACAAGGAATTAGGAAAGACACTTGTACACACACACACACACACACACACACACACACACACACATATATATATATATATATATATATATATATATATATATATATAGAGAGAGAGAGAGAGAGAGAAAGAGAGGATAGACAGAGGCACGGTGGAGTAATGGATAGCGGCTGGGATTGAGGAATCGGAGAGCTGAGTTCGGATTCCAGTCGAATCCATTACATTCCACTTACGTGCTAATACCCTTGGGAAAGGTGTGAACTCTTCTCCCTCCAGCTATGGGTAAAATAGCAGGACAGACTGGGTTCTATAGCCTTGGAGAAGGACAACTCTGAATTGAAAAACCTGTGGAGGGTCGTTTGTGGCACGTAGTGCACCAGGCCTCTGTATTCGGCCCTTCAAAAAGTGTGGATGGTCCTGCACGAAACCTTCACCACTATAATCGAATCTCATGTGGTGTTGTCGGGCTGTCGGTTTCCTGGGAACTGATCTGCTTGACCCTCATACGTCGAATTCGACGGGGAGGAGATATATATATATATATATATATATATATATATATATATATATATATATATATATATATGTATGTATGTTAGCAAATATATGGATATAGATCCGATAGTATGAAAAAAATATACGGAAATAAACAAAAATCCTTATATACAATTATAACAGCATAATTGTATATAAGGATTTTTGATTGTTTTTTCCGTATATATTTTTCTTTATATATATATATATATATATATATATATATATATGTCTGATCTATGGTAGATTTGTAAACGTGCAAGATGGAATCTGGCTTGAAAATGGCATGACGCAGTGAACAATCATTCGAGCAATATGCGCGTAATTGATTCCTTTTCTGCGGAAAACGTGGTACCAAGAAGCCGTTACCACCAACCCTCGAAGGCCAAAGTATTTCTCTACGATTACTAAAGCATAGTAGTTTTGCCATGGAAGGCGTTAAAATTTACGAGCCATTTCTTGCCACAATTACCTGCTGTGTGGAAGTCATTTTCGAAATGGGCTGCCAGTTTACTTCATCAGATGTATCAGACTGATTATTTACACCTTTTTTTATATTCGTACTAGTGTCCTCATCCTTGTTGTTTTTATTACAACGTTTCGATCTTTGCGCTCTCTGGCCTTCAGCTGATGTATATCTACCGGAGTAACTTTAATTTAACCTATAGAGGTAGACTTTCGGTTTTTTTTATATATATTTTTATTAAAGGATCCCACACTGTATTTATTTCTACGCTAGGCCTAATAACAAGATCCTCATAGTCTATCTTATGCGTTGATTCTTTCAGTATTTTGACTTCCTTCCACAGGGGTTAATGACTACACCTTTCTCACCCATCGTCAGTAAGACTTCAACCGCAGAAACATTAGCAGCAAGCAAAGTATGACAGAGAGCAACAGGTGCAACCTAACCAGCAGTCCTGTTAGGTTTAAGGCTCCAAGTTCATTACAAGACAATGCCCTAGTGGATTAAAGTGTTCGTTTGCGAATTTGGTGACAGAGTGATTGTGAGTTCAATCCCTAGGACGGACAGTGTGTACTCGCGCCCAGTGAAAACGGACAAGCAATAACTGAGCAGTAATTAATAAAAATAAAAACTAGACTATATCCCAAGACATTAATATTGGAAGAGAACGATCTGCTACCCTATATTAAATAAAGCGTTCAGTTCAGCATTCCCTGTAGCAGATCAATATACATTTTATAAAGGCTGGGTAGCACTTTAGCCAAAATGTTGTAATAGCAATAAAAAAAGATGGCGACAATAGCCTGAATCTAAAGTATACCCTGTAGGTTAACCAGATCGATATAAACCTGGTGAAGGCTGGAGAGTTCAACAGTCGAAACGTCGTGATGATAATAATAACAAAGATAATGACAATAGTCCGAATGTACTTGGCGCAAATAAATAAAGGGTTCACTTAAGAATTTCCATTAGGTTAATCAGATCGATATACAACTGAGGAAGGCCGGAGGGGAAACGGCCGAATCGGTTTGATAATAACAACAAATATAAGGAAAATAGTCCGAATGTAAATAGTGCAAACACTTTTTTTTATTTGAAACTGTGGTGGAGTAGCGGAGAACCTCCATCTTCATTGATATAATCACAACGTTTCGACCGTTGTACGCTCCAGCCTTCTTCAGGTGATTGGAATTTCGAAGCAAACCCTTTATTTCGTCCACCGGGGTTGATGGTTGTAAGAAAACCGTTAACACATTGGTGCTTAACCTAGAGCAGTGGTTCACAAACAATACGGTTCGCCTATATGTGCGGCGAGGAGGATAGCAGGTGAGGCGGAATGATTAAAAAAAAGATTTAGAAACAGTTTCAAAAATTAAAGTATTATTGCAGATTACTTGTAACTGCATGCAGGTTCGGTTCATGGTATCCTCAGCATCCATCTGTAGAAGCACATTTATTTTGCTTCATGTGTTTTTTTTTTTTTATTTTTAGGAGATTGTCTAGCATTTACTGCCATATAGGTGGACAGATACCAGTATAACCTTTCAGTACTCTTTTCTTTGTGTCTAACGATTTTTTTTCTTAATACTCAGCTTAACTTTTGGAAGGCATCTTTCGCTATCCCAGCGCGTCTTCCGATTTCATTGACGCAAATTCCTCCTCTGTTAGAGCGCTTCCCAGATATTTACATTTTTGTAATAGTTTGGCATCCCAGGTTTGTAATTTGTATTTTGGTTTACTCCTTTTGCTAACAATCCTGTATTCTGTCTTCTTGCAGTTTATGTTTAGTACTTTCTGCTCGTTTTCCTTCACTACCTTCTGTAGGAGCTTTTTGTAGTTTTCTTTCCATGCGTCATCAACACTGTATCATCTTCTGTTGTTAACATTGTGGTAGGACTTCTAATTCTCTCAGAATATAAGTTAAATAAGTCTGGTGAGAAGATACAACCTTGTCTTACACCCTGTTCTATTTTTGTATCCCTGCTTAACTCATTTTCTATCCATATACACCCGTTTTGCTGCCAGTATTGTTTCTTGAGTATACTAATCTCCTTCCCAAATGTGTCAAGGTTACTAAGTAGTTCAAACAGACCTTTATGGCGTACTTTTTGTCGAACAGTAATCTATAAAAACACAGGTACAGGTCATTCTATAAAAGTAATCTATAAAACACAGGTACAGGTCATTCTGCATTTGCATTGTTCTTTCTGATAATATTCTAAGCTTATTATATTGCCTGTTCCTTGCTACAGTGTCTTTAACGAACCCGTACTGTTCTTGTCATATTTCTGGTCTGATTCTACTGCACGTTTTATTCATTAGTATACGGATGTTTAGTTATTTATTATGGCTCATTAGTCTGACTGTCAGATGAAGGTCTCTTTCGTTTGCACATGTCTTCTTAGGCAGGGCCATGAAAATAGATCGACTTAGGTCTTTTGTGTTGGAATTTTGGGGTAGTACTAGTGAGCCAACCGAAATGACTCATTTTATAGTTCACCAATAGAAGAGTTAACCAATCAGAAGGCTCAAAATATTCAATGCG